CAGCTGGAGTGCTGCTCATGCTGGGGAATTCCCTGCTGACCTTCCCTCCCCCCCCCGACCCTTCATAGCCCCCCTTCTGGTACTCGGGCATATCCAATAATCCGGCACCCCCTGGGTCCCAAAGGTGCCGGATTATCGGAAGTTTACTGTAATGTGATTTGAGAGAAACTGCCAAAAGCTGGCAGCGTTAGCAGAAGGCAGTCTTCCATTTGCATCAATTACAATGTACTAGATTATTGCAAAAAGGGGCATAGCACTGGCAGCAGGTTTAGAGGGATGCCCCCTTACTTTCTGCTGAGGTTCTACTATAAGTAACGTGGCCATAGTAAAGTGTTACATGTCAGCAGTGATCTGTCTAATGTGTTCCAGTTACATGCATTCTAAATAAAATAAGCCGGCATTGATTGGAGGTTAGTTGAAACTCAGCCGAGTGTTGCTAATTTTTTTACAAGTTTTAGCTTCTAAAATTATAGAAAGTATTTCTTTCTCCTCCCATTGGCTAGAATTTTTCTTCATTGAAGCCGAAGCCAGCAGGAGGGGTTGATCACATGTCTTCTGTCAGGATTCATTTTGCAATTTATTCTAAAGGCAAAAAACAAAGGTGCAAATGAGGAAAAAGTTCTGCTGAATTATGGAGTATAAAGGCCTAGCCCCTTAGTCATTCCCTGGTATGCTATTACTATTGCACAATTAATAATGTTCTTCAGAAAGTGCTGAATGTACAATACTGCAGTGGGGCCGCCTCTGGGAGAAGGAGATAGGGGAAATGTCCAGTGTTGTGTGATCCAGTCCATTATGTGTATTTCTGAAAAGAATCCAGGCACAAGGCTGTTCTATGAACTTAGAGAATTCTAGTTAATAAGATCTCATCCAAACGTCATTTGTCCTCTGGTACAATGTTTGGTAATCAGTTTATATGCCACAGTAGGGTCAAAGATTGAGATGATTTTGCTGGGATTTGAACCCGTTGGTCGAGTGGGTCTAGGTATTTCACCTCTTGGGCAAGACAAGAGTGTATGGCAATACTTAGTGTATGGAAATACAGCAATATTATTTAGAAATAACTTAGTCCACATCTAGACAGCAGGCAGTTATTTCGAAATACTGTCAAGCTACTGTCAAGTAGAGGAGTTCTTACTCCAACTCCTGTAACCCTCATTGTACGAGAAGTAAGGGAAGTTGGAGGAAGAGTGCTCTATTTCGAAATAAGTGCTGTGTAGACACTCCCAACTTTGAAATAAGCTACGCAATTGATATAACTCAATTTGTGTAGTTTATTTTGAATTAAGCCCTGCTGTGTGTAGATCCACCCTTAGGGGTTATAAGAGAAGTCCTTGTAGCTAATGAAAGATTCAGAATAATCTTTTGTGTGGTTTCATTATAGCTCCTGTATTAACTTGTCTTAGGGCAAGAAGTGACAGCTCTCTTTCACTGATCCAGAAATGCCAGATAATAGGGGGCTTGGAGCTGGTGCTGCTAGTAGGAAATTGGTGTTCTGATGTTAATTCATCTCACATTGAGCAGACCAAAGAGATGCTCACCATGGCTACAAAGATTAAGGTGATATACGACACAGCTGTTTGCATTACAGTGTGGGTAATAAATTCCAGCCACCAAAAAAGGCAAGTAGAAGAGGAGTTGTCAGTCTCATTTCAACTTGGGTGCTTCATCCTGAAAGCCTATTTATTAGGGAATAGGGGACCCAAAATTCTTCCATGCTGGCACCAGTGGTGGAGGCAATAACATGAACAGAGTTTAGGTGGTTTTACTCCTATATCACTAGCCAGGTTAGAGTACTCACTAGTAAAACCATCTGGGTCTTTCTCTACAGTCTCAAGCTTTGCTCCCATCACAGATTCTACTTTTATTAGTGCCAGACAAGACACTAAACTTATTGTCAGTGAGGTAGAGGCGGAGACATGGGGATAACAAGGGAATAGCTTTTACTGGATAAGACTGAATGAACAATCATAATAATGGAACAGAGGAGTCTAAATTGATGATCTTCTCAGCCAACACAAGTGGAGGAGGATCCAAACCAGACAGACATACCAAGGTACAAAGGAGGAACTAGCCTCTCCCCAGAATACTCCTCCTTTTCCTCTGACCCCCCCCTGAATGCCCAGTGCACATCTGGCCCCGTCAGTGCAGCAAAGATACAGGTTTATGCATAAAAAGAAAATATGACAACAAAGGGACGGTAAAAGTCAGAATTTAACTTACTGGGAGATTGTGTGCTTGGTTCTTGGGTTGGTTTTGTGCTTGGTTCTTCAGTAGACTCTGTGCTTGGCTCTTGACTAGGCTCTGAACTTGCTTCTGCACAGGGCTCTCTGCTTGGTTCTCCACTAGGTTCTCCACTTCCTTCCCTGCTGGGGTCTTCAGTAGGGTCTGTGCTTGGCTCTCTGCTCGGCTCCATGCTTGTTCCTCCAGATACAGGGGTAACCGATGCCGCTGAAAAAACAAAATTGACATCAATGGGCAATGTGGGTATTCAGTATCTTTGAAAATCAGGCTATTTATCTAATTGCCTAATATTGATTTGGATGCCAAGCAAATTTGAAAATCTTCGAGAGCCTTCAGATAAAAGTTTGCCTAGAAAAGCCAACTGTGGCAGTAGGAGGAGGAAAGATCATGGGCCAAACTCATCCTTGAATTTGAATCCTTCCACTGAAATTAACAAAGTTTTACCGGAGACTAAATTGTAGCTATGCCACAAATATGACACACAATCTGGAGACTATTTTCTTTGGAATCTAACCGATGAGTTTATAATGAGTTTGGTTTACCTACCTTTTATCGGATCAGCTAGAAACACAGCCAGTAGAGGTGACAGGATCAACATGTTTCTCAGCATGATTGACTTGGCGCCTTCAGTGAAGTGCAAGGATCAGGAAGCAAGAAGGAGGTTTGCAGTGGCAGCTGAAAGGGAGTTCAGGTTCTATTTAAAACAACCCTGGTCTCCACCCACTCTTTATTTTGCAATGTCCTGTTAATGTTCTGTCAGCATGCCCAGAGTTAGATTTGGTGTGTGACCAACACAACCTGGGGAGGAAAATCCCAGATGGTTGTGAGTGGCATGGTCATAGAAAAAGCCATAGCAAGCAATCACAGAACCAATAATGATTTTGCTAACTTTGCATCTAGTATTGTCAGTTTCCCAAGGCCAACAATCAAAGAGGTTTCTGTTGAGGTTATCTGAAAATCCTGGTATGACTCTTGACAAATAGAAACTGCCTTGAGGTAGTTGAAAGGTGAGGAGGGTCACTAAAACCTGTTGTACATTTTGTTGCAGTATTGTAAGAAAACTAATTATAGTGTTAAGAGTGGTGAATGTTTTGGTCAACCCTGGGATAGGCATTTCATGCTAAATCCTTCTTGTCAGTTATTTATAATTTAAACACAAATTCCTGTGTGAAATCTGTAGTATAGAGTAAAAGCACCTAAAAGACCAGGTTTCAAGGTGGAAGACCAGATTTCAGAGTCCATGATGTGTTTTTCATAGCTATGAATTTCATATGGCCCTATGTAAATGGCATTGGTAAGACTGATACTGGAATCTAGCATATAGTTCTGGTGTCCACATTTTAAAAGGGATTTAGAAAAACTGGAGGAGGTGCAGAAAAGAGCCACAAAAATGATTCAAGAGCCTGAGAAAATGCCGGACAGTGGAAGATTTGAAGGGCTTGATCTGTTGAAACTTATCACAAAGAATATTGAGGGGTGAGTTGATTCCTCAAGGAATTTTGAAGCACTTGGAAGAGGGGAAAGTGATCAGGAATAGTCAACATGGATTCACTCAGGGAAAGTCATGCCTGACCAATCTGATTAGCTTCTGTGATGAAGTAACTGGCTCTGTAGACATGGGGAAATCAGGGATGTGATATACCTTGACTTTAGCAAAGCTTTTGATACGGTCTCCCATAATATTCTTGCCAGCAAGTTAAGGAAGTATGGATTGGATAAATGAACTGTAAGGTGGATAGAAAGCTGGCTAGACTGTCGGGCCAAACAGGTAGTGATCAACTGCTTGATGTCTGGTTGGCAATCGATTTTAAGCGGAGTGCCCCAAGGATCGGTGTTAGAGCCAGTTTTGTTCAACATCTTTATTAATGATCTGGATGAGGGAATGGATTGCACCCTCAGCAAGTTTGCAGATGACACTAAGCTAGGAGTAGAGGTAGATATGTTGGAGGGCAGGGACAGGATACAGAGTAATCTAGATATATGATAAACTAGAGGATTGAGCCAAAATAAATCTGATGAGGTTCAACAAGAAGTGCAGAGTCCTGCACTTGGGATGGAGGAATCCCAAGCACTGTTATAGACTGGCTAAGTAGCAGTTCAGCAGAAAGGACTTGGGGATTACAGTGGATGAGAAGCTGCATATGATACAACAGTGTGCCCTTTGTAGCCAAGAAGGCTTATGGCGTATTAGAGTGCATTAGGAAGAGCATGTCCAGCAGATCTAGAAAAGTGATTGTTCCCCTTTATTTGGCACTGGTGAGGCCACATCTGTAGTATGTGTCCAATTCTAGGTCTCCCACTACAGGAAGGATGTGGACACATTGGAGAGCGTCCAGTGGAGGGTGACCAAAATGATTAGAGGGCTGGAACATATGACCTACGAGGAGAGGCTGAGGGATTTTGGTTTATTTAGTCTGCAGAAGAGAAGAGTGAGGGGGGATTTGATAGCAGCCTTCAATTTCCTGAAGGGAGGTTCCAAAGAGGATGGAAAGAGGTTGTTCTTAGTAGTGACGGATGGCAGAACAAGGAGCAATGGTCTCAAGTTACAGTGGGGGTGGTCTAGGTTGAATATTAGGGAAAACTATTTCACTAGGAGGATGGTGAAGTACTGGGATGGGTTACCTAGGGAAGTGGTGGAATCTCCATCCCTAGAGATTTTTAAGTGCTGGCTTTGCAAAGCATATGCTTATCGGATAGTTAACTAGTCCTTAACGTCCTGTGTGTGTGTGTGTGTGTGTGTGTGTGTGTGTGTGTGTGTGTGTGTGTGTGTGTGTATATATATATATATATATAATCTCCATCCATCCATCCATCCATCCATCCATCCATCCATCCATTATATATATTGACTTATTTGAGTCATCACTGACAGGTAGTTTTTGCAGTCCACCTCCTTGTGGCCCTGCTGAGTTAGACAGCTGTATATCATTAGAAAAGGGAAATTCTCAGGTTCCTCATGATTTTTAATCTGACATTATGCTTTTTAATACAGAAAAATGTCCTCTTACTTAAGGTGTGTTTTCAGGAATATCTAAAAGAGATCATCCCCTAATGGCTGTGGTCCAGTGAAATGAGCTCATGGTCACCACATGTTCAGGCTGATTGATATTAATCTACAGAACTGCAGGGAATAGTTTTAAAACTTGTTTTACTGAAGCAAACAGCAAGTAACTCTTCCAAGGACCAGAACTAACAATTCTGACTTTGTGTCCTGGCTGTATTAGTTTGGAAACTTGCCTAGGAGGCCTTTTGAGAAATTAGTTCATCTAGATCAGGAGACTCACATTTGAAGATCCCTTCGGTTGCACAAGATGTAATGCAAACCCATCTGTAAATGACCCCCCATTTCAGCAGCAGCAAGGACCAGTTTTTCTGGAAAGGCGAGGTAGACATGGGATGAGAAGCCCTCATTTCTCTCTTGTGAAATGAGCACAGTTTGTCTGCCCCCAGGCATATACTGCAGAGGTAACTATTAACATTGTGAGAAATGGGTTTGCATTGACCATCTCACAGGTGCTTTAGCTAAGATCATATTTCATTCTTTAGGATTTGTTAATTTTCGTACAGCACCCAGAGAAAATACTAAGTGCTACACAAATGTGTGAAAAATGATCATTTTCTTGCAGTATCAGTGCTACCCTGAGACATACAGGTCCGATATACCCTGTACAGGCAGTCCCCGACTTACATCGGATCCGCACTTACGAACAGGGCTTTCTCACCCCGGAGCTCGCAGGCAGCGGTCCCGCCACCTCGACCTCCGGGGCGAGAAAAGCTGCTCCCGGTGCCCCTGGTCTGCTGGGGACCGTCTCCAGCAGACCAAGGGCACCGGGAGCAAAGCCGCAGTCGCATGAAGATTGGTTTTGTCAGAGGATGGATACACAATTCTAAACATTCAAGAAAGTCAGTTGTCAGGAGTAAAAGCAGAGTTTGGGGGGTTTTGTTTGTTTTTTTGAACATGAGAATGGCACAGTATTCTGTCTTCAACAGTGGCCAGTGCCAAATGCCCCAGAGGAAATTAACAGAACAGTTAATCATTTAATTATCTATCCCTTGTCTCCCATTCTCAGCCCTGACAAATAGAGGCTAGGGGCACCATCCCTTTCCATTCTGGATAATAGCTATTGTCGGACCTATCTTCCATGAATTTATCTAGTTCTTTTTTAACACCATTTAAGGCTTGTCCTTCACAATATCCTCTGGCAGGGAGTTCCACAAGGTGATTGTGCATTATGTGAAGAAATACATCCTTTGTTTGTTTAAAACCTGCTGCCTATTCATTTCATTTGGTAAGATTAGGTTCTTGTGTTATGGGAAGGACTTTTCCTTACAGGCAGTCCCCGGGTTACGTACAAGATAGGGACTGTAGGTTTGTTCTTAAGTTGAATCTGTATGTAAGTCGGAACTGGCGTCCAGATTCGGCCGCTGCTGAAGCTGATCAGTTTCAACAGTGGGTGAATCTTGACGCCAGTTCTGACTTACATACAGATTCAACTTAAGAACAAACCTACAGTCCCTATCTTGTACGTAACCCGGGGACTGCCTGTATTTAAAAAGCCAGTTTTCTACATAAATAAGGATTTTTCTCCTTTTGAATGTAAGGTTGAACAATGTGGGCCTTTTACTCTTTCGTTAAGATTAGACATAGCAAAGGAGGGTGATCCAGATACCTCTAAAAGAAACTGAATTTGAACCCACTGATGTCAGTCAAATAGTTCTTACTTGTGAAAGCAGCCCCATTGACTTTAATGGGAATATTTGCATAAGTTGAACTTGTAAGCTCTTCCAGCACTTTTGTTTGAGTAATGTTCACATTGGAGCTTGAAGATGCCTCTAAAATCAGCCTGACATGGACACCTGAAGATATCTTTCTCTCTTAATTTTATTCATAATTAGTTTTGACAGCTCTCAACTGTTTCCTATATATAAATTATTATTACAATAATACCTAGAAGTCCCCATCAGGAGTTAAAGCCACAGGTGCTAGGAATTGTATAAATGACTCCCTCCCTCCACAGCGTAGACCCTGACCTGAGTGGCTGGAGATGGCCAGTAGAGAATTCCCTCTCCAAAGGGGAATCTCTGCTAGTGGAAAGTTCCAAAGATAAAAGCACCTCTCAGCATGAACAGATTGCGAAATGTAATTGAAAATTGATATTATGAATTTATTTTCAACTACATTTCACAGTTTGTTCATGCTAAGAGGTGCTTTTATCTTTGGAACTTTCAGACTGGGTTGAGCAAAATAGGTAACTTTCTTTTTAAATAAAGCAGGAAGTATTTGAATGAGATTATATCGATCACAGATTATAATATGTATATTTATTCCTCACAAAACCAGATTCCCCTGAAGCCTGTCTCATTCACACGAGGTCTCACTCTGAGTTCTAGATTTTGCATGTGGGTATATGATTGCTTTAACTGAGAGATATGGTATGTGCATTTGCTACACTACAGCTGTGTTCCACTAAATCAAATAGACTTAAAAACAATCCGAAGCTATGAGCAAGAGAGGTATTCACATATTATTATTAAAAACTAATGGATCAGTCCATAACATTTGGGTTCAAATTTAGCTGTTCCTTCTCCATTTGTGGTGATGTTTGCCTCCTTCACAAAACGTAGCTCCCTCTTGATTAGGAGCTAAGGCGTGTGAGCTAACTTGACTGCTCTTTCAAAGGTTAACTGTAGCTTATGCTCATTACAATGGATCAAATTCCCTCTTTTCTGGAGGATAGAATTGCTTAAAGCACTGCAAAACCTGATCACTTTGGCTAGCTGTCACTACCCCAAATACAGAGGACACCCACAGCTTTGCACAGCTGCATTCTTCTTAAGATAGCAAAATGAA